CTGCTGGACAGCTACTTACAAAAGGCCCATTGGACCAAAAGCCTGCCAGAATTAACTTTCTCTGGATCATTGGATCAATCAGGAACTGGCACTTGCCGGGCATATCAGGAAAAGACAAACCAGGAGCCCTACTAGCAACCACTGAGCATCAAGAACTCCAGCATATAACCCATGGCATAGAGCCCTTCGAGAATCTGCCAAACTATTGAATAACTCAAAGCCATTATCAACATGTGTAAGGATAAAGCACTTATTATGTGTCAGGCACTGTAGTAAGAATTGGGAAACCAAGAAGAATGAGATATTTTCTTTACCCTGGGCAACAAAGCAACAGCTAGAGACCATGACAATTCACAAAACAAAATGGTCTACAGAGAATGCCAAACAATTATAGACAAAAAGACTGCCAGAGTTCAGGGAAGGGAGAAATCTCTGTGGGCTGAGGCATAACGGAGGAGAGGCTTATAGTCTTACTTACCCCCAATATGTATATCGCAACTAACACTCTTCTATCCCTGCACACCACCAGAAAAACCAACAAAACCAACGCCTAAGCTGCTTTCCCATATCTTACTTCAGACCCATGGAAAGAAAATCTCACTTGTGGTCTGAGTAAATGGATATCTTCCTTTATCACTCTAATCAAGTTTCTACACACAAACGTCCTCCCTAAAATGTTCTACCCTGGCAGGCTCTTAATTCCTTACAAGAAAGTATACATGTAGAAGAACTCAGGCTTCAGAGACCAGTAGACTGGAGTATGAATTTCAGCCCCCCACATACTGGCTCTGTGCACTCGTAAAAGTTACCACCTATCCTCGGTGCCTATCTCCTGTTCTAAAAAATTAACAGATAGCACCTGCTGGGTGCTTACAATGAGGCAAGTGTTCTGCTAGGTGATTTGTGTGCATTAATTCATTTTTTAAAAAATGGATACAAATTTGGTGTAACACCTATCTTAAAAGTTTGTCACAGGCATTAAAGGAACCTATATAAAGCACTCATGAGTACCC